AGAAATTGTCTAAAACCGTTTTATGCCACAAGGACTGTGCATGCATTAGCAATTGCTGTTGAGTTACTTAAGGCTTGGGGAATAGAGTCACTGCTTTGGAAAGGTTACTCAAGTTTGAATCTGAAATTGGAGCAAGTTTTTGGACCTCATTGGAAGAATCTTTAAACACACCAGGAGTGCACCACACACTCCAAAACAATTTTGTTTTTCATTCTACAAAATGTTACCAACAAATCTTTGTATAAATCAATTCTGAAAGTCAGAGTTCATGCTGAAGTTCACTCCTGAATCCTGTCGGCGATTTCACAACTTAGAATCCAGTGCAGGAGTCCCATGTCCCGTTGAAAGGATTTGTAAGGGCAACTATTTTCAATCTTTTTCAAACTATTTAGCCAAGGTGTTTTACAGTCATTTATTGCAGAATGCATTAAAAAGTCAACTGTTGCATTGCTAAAGGAAAGTTGTCAAGTTTATGGACAAAGTAAAATCTTTGATCAAATGCATATCTCCTATTCGATCAAAATAGTTGAGTTCAGTTGAAGAAATTGTCTTCAGATTTGAAAGTGCTTCAATTGGCTTTATTTCTCTTGTCCTGGTAGGAATTTCAGCTGGGCTGTCCTCCGTTGTCTTCAGTGTCTCCTCATTACGAGACTGAGTTCAAGATGTCTTCAGCAACGTTATACATCAATTGGTCCCTCTCATTGAAGGCAGTAGTAGCTTGAAGATCACTCAGATGTTGGAGTACGGAAAGGATCCAATGTGAAGATGGACTCGTTGTAGATGAAGGGGAGAAAATAGAGAAATATTTGAGTTAACTTTGAATTCTATGTATTGAATTTAGATTTGATAGTTTTCTNCAGATTAGTAAGCACATAAGGCTGTAATATGGACCTTCCTTTAATTTTGCCGCAATCAGTTATTCAATAGTTTAACTTAAATGAGCTTTTTAAGGTTTCTTGACAAAAGTCATTGCTCTGTTTGAGTTCGACTAATTAAAGTAAAAAAATGTATCAGTTTGATTTTAAGTGTCCGTTTGTCTCAGGTTAAAAATTGGTTCACATTATGAGGATAATTGCTTTTAAAAAAAAGGACAATTCGATTCTGAATTTGAAGCTCTATTTCTTTTATAAAAAATATTTCCCACAAAAATTTGAATTCACCACAGATGAAAATTTAAATAGAAAGCACAAATAATTTGCTCAATTTTAATCGTTTGGGAGTGGGAAAGAATGTCGAATTGTACTCTTTTATACTATATCTCAATCAAGGTCAGACATTGCAGAAATGCTGGAAAGGCCTGAATTTGGAATTGAGAAACATTTTCCAATTTTGTTAAGAAATACATGAAAATTCTCTTCACTCCCCATAGTCTTTGTACACAACTGCTGGAGTGAAGTCAGGATGCAACCTTTTTTCTGGGAAACGTTTTTAGAAGCTTACTAGAGACGATTGGAGTGAACCAGCAACTAGTAATGAAAAATAAACTCAACCTACACAAGGCTGAAACCAAGACTGAGGAATTTGACTTCAATATGCCACACCCTGTTTTCCTTGAGGAAAGAATGATTAGGTTTCCCTTGGAAATATTTTTTAGAGGTCAATACTTACAGTAGCTAGTTGCTTTAGACCATGGAGGGACCATGATCATATGGAACTTCGGAACAAATACAGAAAACTGCATCAAAATTTAATCAGATCTTGTACATTCTGAGCGTCCTAACAAGGTGTAAATGCACGTCTTGTTGGCAACACTGGGAGACTCCGACAGTGTGATACTGTTTGGCTGAAAACCCGCCGACAAAATGACAGGGCCTACGCAATACTAAGAGTCTAGCAGAACACGTGATGGCAAGGAGCCAATAGCAAGAGTGGAGGAAAGGTGTGGCGCAATGGGAATAGAATGAAAGGGGAACCCACGGTCTGCCCTTTCGTGAATTGGGGGCGAATACGAGCCGTTTTGCACACTAGTCTCTTTCCACACACGCACACGGAATGGTACTTCGGCTGAAAAAGAGACCAATTCTTTTGTTGGATTCTTTTGTTCCGTCTCTCCTGAACAATAAAAAAGATTCGAGGCTTACGGAGGATTAAACGCCGCTATCTTTCGTTACGGTTGAGTGAACAACAATAGGGAGAATTGAAGCAGAAAATCTCGAAAAACTCGCCTTCTAAAGCATTTTAAGCAACAAAATGACGTTTTTTGTAGAGGAAATCACATAACAAACCTGCCCATAATCTCAAATTTTAAAATCTCGGTCGGAATAAAAAGTTGGCTTTTCAGGACTGGTGGGTTCCTTGTGAAAACTTTCTCCTACTCGACGTTGGTGGCGCTATAGCAAAGACAGTCCCAGTCCATTTGTGTTTTTTCCCTTGAGAATCAAACCCCGACATTTCTCAGTTTCTCTTCTGCTTGCACCCCGTTATGTATTCTGAGTGCAGTAACAATTAAGCGGTGGGGGTTGGGCTCTGTAACGGGGGCAGGGGGCTCACAACCTGCTTTTTTCTACATAATTTCTCAGATTATCAAAAGCAGCATAATTATTTAACTGTCCTTGCCCTATGAGTCTTTTTCTCCGATATTGTACATTATACGTACCCCCATCATCCCGTTTCAAGCAAATCCTAAATAACCAGGGTTTTTAGCCTGTTTGCATCAAAACTTCCTTTCAAATTTGATCAGACTATCTGAGCTGGCACTGGAGTTTCTATTTATTTATTTCCCTCGTGAGCAAAAACATTATTTTACTACTTTTCATAAGGCTACTGCCGAATTTGCCGAGCAGTACTGGTTCCCGCCTGCGTAGGCCAAAACTAACACAAAACGGGCAACCAGCGGTTTGGACCGTTAAGAAAATCCGATTTGGACCGCCGATATGGGCATTTTTGTACACGGTCGATCATGCACACGTGTATACAGCATAGCGAGCCACAAAATTGGCCATTTCGGCGTTTCCAAGGAACATGCGCATTGTGCATGACCGTATGGCGGGCGCTATACTACGGAAATGCCCATATCGGTGTTTCCCATTGCCGCGCGCATCGTGCATATCAATTGCACCGCGGACTTTCAATGTCATAGCGCCACCAATGGTGGCTGTGAGAAAGTTTTAGCAAAGAACCAGCCAGTCCTAAAAAGCCAACTTTTTTATTCAGGCGAATTAGGGAATTTTGAAACTATGAGTAGATTTGTTATGCAATTTCCTCTTCACAAAACATGATTTTGTTTCCTAAAATGCTGTCAGAGGCGAGTTTTCTGATGTTTTCTGCTTCAATTCTCCCCTTTGTTATTCACTCAGACGTGACGAAAGATAGCGGCGTCTAATCCTCCGTAAGCCTTGAAACATTTTATTGTTCGGGCAAGATTCACCAAAGGAATCTGACAAAAGAAGTGGCCTCTTTCGCATACGCCAGTGTTCGTCCGTTCAAATGGTGGTGTTGTGTAGAATACCGTCTGATGACAGAAGACAAGAAGGTGCGTTTCGTAATGAGACTAGTATGCCTGGCACCGGCACTCGTGCGCCATGAGACAAGCTGTCAGAACGTCTTCAGATTCTTACCTAAGGAACCCACAAACCTTTCACAAAGCCAGTTTTCGTTTTGGAAATATTCTCCCTTTTCTGGTCTGGGTCTCAGTCTTTTCATTAAATAAATTCAGGCTCCAAAAAGCCAATGATCATGGGCACAACCTTCTCCCCAATGCCTATACGGTTGACAATGGACAAAACAACATCGAACAAATTTTGTTGGCAAGCACAGTTCACATTTTTATTTTCTTCAGCAACACTATTTCGTCAATAACTATATGTACATGTATTTCGAGCTTTTAATTATGAAGTTTGTATGAAGAGCAACCCACTGCAAAAGAAGTCTTTCGTCTTATCATGAGAAATGTTCGCATTCTAACCAAAGACACGGGTAGACAAAAAACACCAAAATTTCAATGGATTTTTGTTGAGGGGGAGTTAGGCAAAACTGAAGGATTTCTTTATTAAATGTGTGGCTACATTTCGAGACTTTTTAGGGAGGAAGGGAAATAGACATCTTTTTTCGAAATGCTTCTTTCTCGGTTTGTGTGTGGGGGTGGCCCCCGTTACTTTCCCATGGACCTGCCGATGCCTTCCAATCCTGTCAAATGTACTCTTTTCATGGTATAAAATTATCCAATTACACAATGAATGCTAAGCACAATAAATTACTGAAATTCCAAATTTAATTAAACATATGAACTCCCTTCAGTTCCCCAGAAAACAAGAGCCGAAGTATAATTAAATACTATCACAAACTGCTTCAGGAAAATTCCCGAGTTGTCTCATGGTATTCATCTGAAATGGCAGCGCTACTTCAAACCTGTTCAGCATTTAAAAAATGTGTGTGCAAAAAAAACAAACAAAAACCAAACAAACAAACAAACTAAATATTTTTTCAACGAAGATTGCCTAAACAACACGTCATCCCACTTTAAACATGCCAGTTTATCGGTAGCTTTTGTCTTTCATAGCAAGAGATAATTATGAAATCAATACCTAATGTAAAGGGGAATTTCGTTTCGTTGCAATTTTATAGTTTGATTTATCCCGACAGTGCTAGTGTTCTTACGACATTGATGAACAAGATAAAATACATAACGACTCCTCTCTATTCACTAATCAGATTGAAAACCAGGATTTTTAACAATTCTGTTAAATTTAATTTTACTGAAAGACAACAATGATTGGAAAATGTCACCTGATTGATAGGTCAAAATAACTATAGACATGTGACTTGATAAAGGAAAGTTTGATGGGTAAAGACGACGAGAGGCTAGTTGTGGTTAGAGGGAGCGTCTGAAGGGAGTGTAGGCTGACTTTCCCTCTAGTCAAAAAAAGGTTCAGGTAATTACTATACAAACATCGTTATCCGATAGTTTAATGCGACGCAAATACACTGTCATCAAATTTGGGTACTTCATAGATACGGAGTACTTCACTTAACGATTCATACAGAACAGACAACACATGGACCGTAAACTTCAAAATCTATTAGAAATATGGCCGTTTCACAATAGTGCGCCACCAAGAATTTACAACGCGTTGGCCAATTACAGTGCGCGAAATCTGTCGACCAAACGCACGTTTGGAAAGGGTCGACAGATTTCGCGCGTTGTGATTGGCCAACGCCTTGCAAACTCTTGGTGGCGCACTATTGTGAATCGCCCGTATTGTCTAGGTTTTAGTCTTCCTGTTCCATGTTAGTGAAAACTCCATCGTTGGAAAACTGACCGACACCCTGAAAAAGGTTTCTCTTTAAGAAAATTATTTACAAACAATGTAATGCTCGACAGTGGTTCAAGCTTGTTAAGATGTACTGTACATGTAGGACTGACCATGTGTAACTAAAATGGAATTATTGGTAGGATGTTTGTCAACTACCCAGCGGTATAAAGATAGTTTATCCCACACGAATATGTCACCTCAAGGGTGTGGGTTATTTCAAATGGTCATTTAAGTTGACTGACCGCGTCGGCATCTGTCACACCAGGTCACATAGTACAAAATTATGACCTTTAGTAGAGTGTAAGCCACCTGTGGTTGTCCCTCGATATTGATAGACACCTGCCATAACCCTGTCACCAGGGCAACACATGTTTGATCGCCTGTTAGTGTCACATGATCTCCACAGACGAAGGTTCTTCCAAGCAGTGTTCACTGCTTAGATATTAATGCTGCAAGTGACACTGGCCCACAATGCCTTCGACCTCCGTCTCGGACGAGTAAAATTACTTCGAGGTCATGTCTGGCTATTCAACAATTAAAAAGTTCAGGAGCGACAAAACTAATGGAGGCCCAACTCATGACGCATTATGACAGTGCCAATCATCTGCTCAAAAGTAAGAAAATGTATGGAAAATCAGCAAGACGACTGTTTGTCCTTCAAAATATTTTGAATCCTTTGTTGAAGAACTTGAAGCTAGATACTGTTCTCTTTTGCAGCACTCTGGGCGCCTTAGGCTGGGGAGATTTGGCACGATCCCGGTCCTTTCTTGACGACGGAGGCGATGCTGGGACAGTCTTTTCTTCACTAATAAAAAGTGGCTTAAGAGGCATATGTCGCTCAGCTTCTCGCCGGATCTCGCGAACAGTCTCGTGAAAGACACTTTCCACATCCTCAAATTCTCCAGCTGCCGAGACTTCGTAGTATGAGCATGCGTACTGCGTGGCCAAAGAACTACCGTCCAGCTTGCTAACTTGTCTGTTTGTCAAAAAAAAAACAAGAAAATGAGGATTGTTGTGATGAAAAGGCCGCAAGTGAATCAAAGGTTGTGCACGTACAAGGAAAGAAAGAATTCTTCGAGCACATTTAGGAGCCCAAAACTATCAAATGGATCAAAAGCTATTCAGAGCTGACATAAAATTTAAAATTCCTTCAGCGATTTTTATTTCGAAATTCACGGGAAACTTGATACATTTTTTGCTAAAAACTTAGGCTGTTTGTTATGTTTTCCTTCCAAATCGTCCTTTTCGTAATTGGTATAAATGTCTCAGTTTCAGACATAGCTCAAACAGAGCCAGTATTTTTATCTCCAAGATTTTTTTTATTAAAAGACTTCACGAGTATTTCCCCTTTGACACTGATTACAATAGCTACCCTCATCTGTAGTATAACTCACCTATATCTCTCCATCTCATTTTTGTTTCCAACAAGAACCACGGGCGCCTCGTGTGTATCTCTGGTCTTCTGCAGCTCAGAGACTTCTTGCAGTAGATTTTTGGCATAGTTGAAGCTGTGTTTGCTGGTGATGCTATACACGACTACAAGGCCATCAGCCCATTGGATGTAGCGCTCAAGATTCTCCGCGTCCTGGCAAAAACACCCCCAAGAAAAAAATCGAGAAAAAAATAGAAATTTGTAAGAACTAAAAAACGAAACAACGAAGTTTTGGGGGAGGCATTATTGTTGTTTGCAGTTTTTATACAATCCAGGGAACTTTTTTATGTAATAATTTTTAAGATTTGAATAAATTTCGATTTTTTTTTCATTTTTACGCCTAAGATTACCAATTCAATAATGTTCGGCGGAAAACTAGTGAACTCGTGTTAACTTTTTCAAGGGGGAAAAGCATTCAAGTGTTGTTCCCTAGAATCAGGGAAGGAAAATACAGAAAATGAGGAGGAAATAAACAAAGAAGGAATAGTCATGGTCGTATCCTTTCAAAGACTGAGGGGTTAATTCAGCTTCTTTATTCGTATACCCCATGTGCAGTATCCATCAGACGAAGAAGCATTGTTTGGTTATCAATGACGTCTTCCTTGCAGTAAGTATCCTCTGAAACGACAGAAAAAGAAAAAAAAATCATCTCATTACATTCCAATGTCTCTGCGAGGGAATTCATTCAGCAAAGGATAGGCCCTACGACTGCATACTGTCAACGTGACACAAGCCCGTGATGTCACTTGACATGACAATATTTTGTCCAATTATCATGAACCGTATTGTAGTATCCAATTTCCAGTGGTTACGAATTTTTGTGGCAAGCGCAGTGATAATGGCAAAGAGCTGCTGAGATGTTTTCACATATATACCTCGGATTGGCTGGCTGCATCTTGCTAAATTACGAGTAAATTACTGCACGTGCATGTGATTTACTGCATTGCTCAACACTCAGCCCGCGATCTGTGGAAAACACCTACGAGGGTCCACAAAAACAGCAAATAACTTTTTAATTGGCCAAAATAAGGCCATCGTCGGAAGAAACCGTGCCGCAAATTTATATCAGCAGTTATTTCCTAGTGACAGATTCACAGTCATTTGTGCGACGTGCCAGGCGTGCTATGAACGACCGGCATATTTCTCCAATAAGGGAAAGGTTGATGCAGTCACAGAAATTCAGCAAGATTGGCGAGATAACCTCGCCCATTAATTTCTGAAAGGTACTGGTGAGTACAGATTGTACTGTACGCGTATGACCCTTTAAAATTACTCGAAAACTGGCGTTTATAAAAAGTATCAATATTTAACACAGCTAAAATTATCCGAAAGTTAATTCTAAAATGAAGAGCCTGTACTGGAAACGAAATTCAAAGCAAATAGGCTGATAACAAAAATCAAAACTAATGTGAAAAACAGTGAACATGGATATACGAAAGACTAGAGGAATGTATTCATTATCTTATCATTACTCCAAAATATCAAGACAAGTCTCACATTACAGAAATTTTCCTCTAAACAAACGTGCATGCAATATTACAAAGACCTGCAAATCACTAATGAGACCGTTAACACACACAAGATTTGAAGGCGATGTAATCTCAGTCGAATATGTTTTACAGGAATGTCAACTTGTGACTAAAGTTACACAGCAACGGACTAGAGTTACGCAGGCCAAAGAATAAAACGACTCGTGTCGCTAGTCGTATCGATGGTAAGAACGATATAAAAGGGACGTCTATACCGTAACGCCCTCACCAGTAATTCCCTTGTTATCATAACTCACGTCAAAACGCTGAAATTAGCTGTCTAGTGTCTACTTGATATAACTTTATCACGGAAACCAAATATTTTCTGTGAAATATTAAACTTCAAGTAGCATTTTCTATAACAGATAACAAGAGTTGCACGACCTTGCAGATGAATTGAACTGATTGACGGAGTGTCTGGCAGCTAAACTAGAGTTACTGGTAATAGCTGCGGAATGTGAGTGTTTAATCTCTATCCAACAAACTTCAAGAAGCGAGCTAGGAGTCACCACGTACTTGGAAGAAGTGGTATACACATACTCTCCGATGTTATCAAAACAATGTAACAAATGCCTTTTATGATAAGACGATGGTGTATATTTATTATGATATTAAAAGGGGTGCCATAATGACGGCGCCAAGAGTAGAGAATTTGCGTCGGATGATGAAAACCTGACCAAGACCCCTTCGTGTTATACTATAAAGAAAATCAGTTCCCAGTTCCCAGGCTTGCTCTACCACTTTGGACAGAGCGCCTTTACATCAGCCTGTCAATATAGCATTTGTCACAGGCTGAAATATTTGATCACGGGATCATATCCGGATCAGGAATGTTCATATCGTACAAGCTTTGTAAAATAGCAGATTGGAAATGTCAAATGGATTGCAAAGATAAACATATGAGTTTCAGCCAATGAGCGTCTCGGACATTCTCAATGCATCCTGGGATTGGATGAAAACTTCTTTCAAGCAATGCATTTTATGCTCAAACCCATGCAGGATGTGAACCAGTCAAACATTGATTAATTAGTTTCTTCAGACTTTTCTCAATTACAAGTTCCACCCACAGACAGGTGCACAGTTGCAGTATCTCCGAGAAACTGTTTCAAATAAAAAAAAACACGTACTAAACAATTGTTTTCAATACCCAGTTCACATTCCAATATGTTTGTATATAACATGCCTTGCGCGTTTGTCATCCAATCCCATAATGCAATGAGATCCCGAAAAGATTTATGGATGATCACTCCCAACTTCCACTCTGTCCTAAAATTCCGTTATTTCAATTCTACATCGAGCAAGTGAGTGATAGCCTACTGATAACTCTTATGGTTAAAGAAACAACCACCCAGTGGAGAAACTTTATTTCTTTTCGCCTGAAACTATATGATTTTTTCTTGAATGACAGTGATATCACGTCACCGCAAAAAACAAAAAACAAAAAAAAAACAGTCCTGCCAGAGGCTTTAATATTTCGTGCTTTGTGACCGATACTTAGAATTTGCCGAATGACAAGACCCCACATCACTGACCTTGAACAAACAATATTTGAGAGGAAATATTCGACGGATTCCCGCGGGAATATGAAAAGACCCTGTGATAGAGCCAGTCATGTAGAATGATCCAAAACAGCCTCGGGCTGAGACTACTGTGAATTTAATCTCACAACGAAATGAAAATGTCACATTTCATTTATGAGTTTGAGGATATTCGAAGCAGGCCCTCAACTCAGATTTTATCACATCTTAAAGCGGCTTAAAAATCACATATATCAAACCTCAAATATGAATTTTTGTACATGCCGGTAGATGCTTTGCTTAAAACGCTTCATATCACAGTTTTGAATTACAAAACATTGGCATAATGAGGGCGCTTCCTGTGCCACCATGGAAAAAGTCGACATTAATCCTGTATCCCTCTCTTGTAAATAGATTGTTTTTGGAGGGAATCGAATGTGCCTGGATGAGGTGTAAATACCCCGAATTTACAGAGACGTTTCATGCATAGTTTGATGGTGGAAAATATGAAGACCAACGGGGATTCCTAGTCGGAAATGTCAGTTGCATGTATGCCATATGGCACCGAAGCAACACAAAGAGCGCCTGTCTGTGGATGAAAGTCAAGCAAAGAAAGTCCAACTTTATAGAAGTTCAAACTTTAGCAAAGTCAAATTTACCAACCACCCAGCAGCAAATTCTTTCGGTGAGACAATAACGCGTTTGCCAATTACATCCATCTCTTTAGAGAATACATAAATCATAAAGTTACAGTTTCTGTGATTGAGAGAAGTCACACAGGTTTATAACTACATGTAAGCCGGACTGGATCACTGAGGTCAGGTTTCCTAGAGCAACTGGCGCCACTGTAGAAAACTTTGAACAACGCATCACCTTACAGGTCGGTTTCTAAATTTAGAGAAAAGAAAGGTTACTATTTAGTATAGGGTATCCAAAAAAGTGGCTTCAAATGAATGATCAGTTACGCTTGCTTGATATCACAGAACGCGTTGAATTCTTGCTTCACACCATTAGTATTTTTTATCCATTACATGATGTTACATGCAATGTTTTATGACATCGTCGAATCTATACGTCGAATCGTAACAGAATTAAAAGAGGTCATCGCACTTTTGATTTATTACTGTCGTTTCATTATCAGTCATTTATAACCGGTTTATAGTCGGTTTACTAAAACCGGTGCTGTACTATGTTCCTCAAAATACGGTGAAATTGAAAGTTTATTTGTTCGTAATCTTATACAGTCTTGTCTAGATCTCTATACCTGATAGATTACAGGCATTTGTCACGCCAAGGTCCGTTAAAAAGTTTTCCCCCAGGGCCAGTTGATCCTTCAAGTGAATCTAGTGGCATATGTGAAAAGAACACCAGACATTGAGGGAGGTAGATGGTTTATCCGAATGATGAACTAAAATCAATGGGTAATTGAAACCGATTTCATCCATGAACACATTGTGAAGAAAGGATTGAGAGTCGTCCGTGCGTGAGTAAGAAGAACTGACGTGTTTTCCTGACACTTGGAGGGGGGACATGATGCATGACAACGACATTATGATGTGTGAAGATTCCTTTTGAGGACTAACAGACAAAAATACTTGAGGTAAACCGATGACAGCTTGGCTTATTCTGTCGACTTTTTGTAGATGGTACTCAGTATTCCACTCGCAGAGGTCCTGGGCATTTCGTAACTTGAAGTCGACTTTTTATGCAGATTCGCAATACATGTACACATGTGCCAAGTTTACAGCTTCACTTTATGAACATGGCTATAAAGCTTTGGAAATTTTGGAAGTTTTCATCCCGACTATTCTGGTCAGTGCATTTACCTAGCTGCGTCTTGCATGCGTCCATGCATACATGGTAGTTTCATAAGGCAAAATGTCACTACATTAATGCTTGCAGTCTGTACATGTAGCAAGAAGTTGCCTGCATGGTAACAAATGAAACTATTCAAGAGGATAGAAGTTGAATTATTGGGAATTCTCGATTCATTTCTCTCATATCGACGGACCCCTGTAGCTCTGTCAATTGATTTTGTACTGTGTTTACACCCATACACGAATGTCTACTTCAGATCTAATTTCTTTGATCCTAGAGACCTATGTTTAAACCGGTTATTTGTCTCTATTTTCCCGCCAAGGTCCTCTAAGTTTTATACTCCAAAAGGCTCTGACACGCTGAGTTCGCTCGAAAAAAGCAGAAGAATAGATTTACTTGGCAGCCTCCGGCGACAAGACGATGGACGAGCCTAACTGACCAGCCACAAACTGTGACTGAGACAGTAGTTCTTCTGTAATTTGAAGAGCTAATAAGTCCCATGGGTGTACAGAAATAGCTATTACTCCGTAGGCACAGAAACTGACATTTAAAAGTACTGTAAATTTATGCATGACGTCATGCATACTGTACTATGTAGCGCCCTCTGTCCTGACTGAGAACATGACTGGATGTGAATAATTCTACAACACTGCGAATATAAAACGTCATGCGAAACAAATCCTGAAAAGTGCCAATTTAAGGAATAACTTTGCAATAACTGACAAATAGAACCATACGCATAAAGTGCAGATTT